TTAGCACAGAGTGGAAGTAGCCAGTTAGAAACACCTAGTGAGAGAGAACAGCACCCGTAAGCTCCAGGAAGATCACTCAGGCCTCAAAGGAATGTTCCCCCTTATTTGATCATGTACGTAATTAATAATCACTGGATAGAAACAAACCACTAGTCGATTTCATATTTGGGGGAACTTGGTAGCCTAGGAGAGATGCAAGCCACCTCTCTGTGTCAGATTGGCCAAGAACTCAACTAATTCACAGAGATTCCTGCCTGAAGAACTAGGGAAATCATAGCACAAAAAATGGCAATGACTGTGACTTTACCTGAAATGATGTAGCTATCTAAATCATTTTAATATAAAAAATTTTCTTGACATTTGCTGAACTTAGAGATTCTAGTATACAGTTTTAGCCTGACATTCTTCTTTAGCCTGTGTTCATATTCTGAATATAAAGTCTCATGTTCAAGAAACTTAGCATCTGTCTATTTAAGCAACTATTGTCAAGTATATACATTTTTAGCTAAAGTAATTTATTTAACATGTAGACACTTTTCCATGTTTAAGACCAGATGAAGGGGCTGCTCTCCTGAAGCTTACATTCAATGTTGTGTAATAAATGAGTAAATGGATAGTCTGTCGGGTAGATAGAGGCTCTAAGGAAAAGAGGCGGGGCATGCGTGGCAGAGGATGATCTTTAATGTGGCAGGATCAGAGGAGTGATGTTTGAGCTGAGACCTAATGCAGTGAGGGAGCCAGTCACACAGGGGCTGTGGGCAGCGTCCTCCAGGGAAGAGGAAAGGCACGTGCAATGATGCCCAGTACACACACTCAATATGCTCCTTCAGCCATCCCGCCAGCGAGGCTGGAAAGGAACAGGCACGAGACGGAGGAGATGACATCACAGGGGAGCCAGGGTGCAGACTGGCAGGGCCTCTGGCCCATTGTAAAGACTTCAGAGGCTTTGTCAGGAGTGATGACAAGCTGTTTTGATCAGGGAAATAAATTAATAAATTTACATTTATTGAGTGAATAATGATGAGATGCTAATAATACCTGCCCTATTATTTATCAAGCATATCTTAGGTGCTAAGGGCTTTACATGTATTATTTCATTTAATCTTTATCGCATCTATGTGATTATAGTCTCTGTGGCTATGCTTATAGTACAGATGAGGTCAAAACTACACAGTTCATCATGAGTGACTTGTCTAGTCACACAGGTAGTAAATGGCAGAGCTAGGCTTATTAAATAGCCTAGCTATTTAATATCCTTTGAAATATCTTAGCTATTAAAATCTTTTAATATCCTTTCAAATATCCTAGCTTTTAAAATCCTTTAATACCTTCCATGAGGTATCACAACATAGCTAGATATGATTGATTTTCTTTTCTTATTCATTTTAACATCATAAGCATTAAGTGAAATCTTTTTCAAATTGAAGTATAGTTGATTTACAATGTTGTGTTAATTTCTGCTCTACATCATAGTGATTCAGGTATACATACATATACATTCTTTTCTTTTATTCTTTTCCATATGTTATCACAGGATATTGAATACAGTTCCCAAGGCTACATAGTAGAATCTTGTTATTTATGCATTCTATTGTATATATACTAGTTTGCATCTGCTAACCCCAAACAAGATTGCCAGGAGAAATAATCAATAACCTTAGATAACAAATGACACCACCCTTATGGCAGAAAGTGAAGAAGAACTAAAGAACCTCTTGATGAAAGTGAAAGAGGAGAGTGAAAAAGTTGGCTTAAAGCTCAACATTCAGAAAACTAAGATCATGGCATCTTGTCCCATCACTTCATGGCAAATAGATAGGGAAACAATGGAACCAGTGACAGACTTTATTCTTGGGAGCTCTGAAATCACTGCAGATGGTGATTGCAGCCAGGAAATTAAAAGACCCTTGCTCCTTGGGAAAAAAGCTATGACCAACCTAGACAGCAAATTAAAAAGCAGAGACGTTACTTTGCCAACAAAGGTCCATCTAGCCAAAGCTATGGTTTTTCCAGTAGTCATGTATGGATGTGAGCGCTGGACTATAAAGAAAGCTGAGCACCAAAGAATTGGTGCTTTTAAACTGTGGTGTTGGAGAAGACTCTTAAAGAGTCCCTTGGACTGCCAGGAGATCAAACCAGTCCATCCTAAAGGAAATCAGTCCTGAATATTCATTGGAAGGACTAATGCTGAAGCCGAAACTTTAATCCTTTGGCCTCCTGATACGAAGAACTGATTCATTGGAAAAGACCCTGATGCTGGGAAAGATTGAAGGCAGTAGGAAAAGGGGACGACAGAGGATGAGATGGTTGGATGGCATCACCGACTCAATGGACATGAGTTTGAGCAAGCTCTGGGAATTGGTGATGGACAGGGAAGCCTGGCGTGCTGCAGTTCATGGGGTCACAAAGAGTCAGACACGACTGAGCAACTGAACTGAACCCCAAACTCACCCTCCACCCTCTTCATCCCCAGCTCTCCCTTGGCAGCCACATGTCTGTTGTCTATGCCTGTGAAGCTGTTTCTGTTTCACAGATAAGTTCATTTGTGTCATATTTTAGATTCCACATATAAGTGATACCATATGTTTGTCTTCCTCTGAGTTACTTCACTTAGTATGATAATCTCTAGATCCATCCATGTTGCTGAAAATGGCACTATTTCATTCCTTTTTATGGCTGAGTAGTATTCCATTTTATATATGTACCACATTTTTATGCATTCATCTGTGAATGGACATTTAAGTTGTTTCCATGCCCTGGCTACTGTGAATAGTGCTGCTATCAACATAGAGATACATGTATCTTTTTGAATTATAGTTTTGTGTGGATGCATGCCCATGAGTGGGATTGCTGGATCACATAGCAACTCTGTTTTTAGTTTTTTGAGGAACCTCTGTACAGTTTTCCATAGTGGCTGCACCAACTTATATTTCCACCAACATTGTAGAAGGGTTCCCTTTTCTCCACACCCTTCTAGCACTTGTTCTGTTTAAACTTTTTAATGATGGCCATTCTGACCAATGTCAGGTAGTTTTGATCTTTGATCTCATTGCAGTTTTGATCTTTTCACATGCCTGTTGGCCATCTATATGTCTTCTTTGGAGAAATGTCTGTTTAGGTCTTCTTTTTAATTAGGTTACTTGTTTTGTGTTGCTGAATTGTATGAACTGTTTATATATTTTGGAAATAAAGCCCTTGTTGGTCACATCTTCTGCAAACATTCTCTCCAATTTCATAGGTTGTTTTTTCATTTTCTTTCTGGTTTCCTTTGCTATGCAAAAGCTTGCCAGTTAGATTAGGTCCTATTTGTTTCTTTTTGCTTTTATTTTTATTGCTTTGGGAGGCTGACCTAAGAAAACACTGGTACAATATATGGCAGAGAATGTTTTGCCTATGTTCTCTTGTAGGAATTTTATGGTGTCATGTCTTATATTTAAGTCTGTAAGCCACTTTGGGTTTATTTTTGTGCATGGTGTGAAGGTGTGTTCTAACCTCATTGGTTTATATGCAGCTGTCCAGTTTTCCCAACACCACTTGCTAAAGAGATTTCCTCTCCATTGTATACTCTTGCCCCCTTTTCACAGACTAATTGACCATAGGTATATGGGTTTATTTCAGCCTCTCTATTCTGTTCCATTGATAAGTCTGCTTTTGTGCCAGTACCATGCTGTTTCGATTACCATAGCTTTGTAGTGTTGACTGAAGTCTGGGAGCATTATGCCTCCTGCTTTGTTCTTTTTTCCTCAGGATTACTTTGGCAATTCTGGGTCTTTTAAAGTTCCATATAAATTTTAAGATTGTTGATTCTAGCTCTGTGAGAAATGTCATGGGTAATTTGATAGGGACCATGTTAAATGTGTAGATTGCTTTGGGTAGTATGGCCATTTAACAATATTAATTCTTCCAATCCAAGAGTATGGCATATCTAAATGAAAGACATCTTAAGGCTCATAGAGAGTGTCTTGATGATTTCTCTAGACATATTTAAAGTGTAAGAGTTGTATTATCATATATGACAGTATTATGTTCTGATTAAAGAGAAAATATATAAAAGAACCACTCCAGAATGAAACCTCCCAGTTTCCCTGTGGTCCTTCAGAACATTGGCTCTTTTATATATAAATATAATAGGTTTTTGTTGATTATCCATTTAATTTTATTTATTTATTTTTTAAAAACAAAAACAATTTTGTATTGGGGTATAGCCAATTAACAAGGTGATAGTTTCAGGTGAAAAGTGAAGGGACTCATACATATATGTATACATATATCCATTCTCCCACAAACCCCCCTCCATCCAGGCTGGCACATAACACTGAGCGGAGTTCCATATGCTATACAATAGTTTTTTGTTGGTTGTCCATTTTAAATATAGGAGTATGTATATGACCTTCCCAAAAGTTCCTAATCTGTAAATTCAGAATTCTGTCTCAGTATCATTTATTTCTTTAGTAATCATAAGTATTTTTTCCAATGCATTTAAAACATTACTCTAAGAAAAGAGACCGTAATCATCCTTAGACCATGGGTATAGAGGCAGCATATGCAATGATTCCAGTGAAATCCTTTGAATTTGAACAGAACTGCTACAAATGGTACTGAATTTATGTTGTTGTTTTGAGGGAGTGGGGTTGCTGAGCACATGCCAAAGGGTCACAAAGAGGCCAGCTATAGCTTGGGTGACCACATGATCCAATCTGGACAAGATCATCCCACTTTAAGCCTTTGTTCAGCATAATTAACAATATCACCCCTTTCAAAAGTATTCCAGAAAGAAAAATGAACTATATTTATGGTCACCATTAGCTATAGCTGTTAACAAGAAAGCAGTGATAGTGGACACAGAGAATTGAGTACAATCACCAGGACGTGTGGCAGGGCTGCCAACCCCTGAATTTGGACTTATTTTGATAACAAATGGATATAATCAAAGTCAGATTACACAAAGGAGATGATGGAAGAAAATGCTGTTCTGATTCATAATTCATTCTCTTTCACAGCCAAAAAGGAACATAAAATGGAAGAAAGTCACTTGGAGAATGCACAGAAAAGGTAAGCAGCTCTGACTGGCCTCAATCTCCCTTTGACCATCCATTCTTTTTTTTATTATTATTAAGAACGTTCACACTGCTATGCAACTGTCAACGTCAGCCTTCTCCAGAACTTTTTCTTCTTCTCCAAGGGCAGACTCTGTACTCATTAAACCACAATGCCCCCATTCTCTCCTTCCTTCAGCCTGGCAGTCACCATCCTACTTCCTGTCCCTGTGACTTTGACTAGGTACCTCATGTAAGCGGAATCGTACGGAACTTTTCCTTTTGTGACTGGCTGATTTCACTTAGCATAACGAATGACTAGCCATTCTTTTGACTGCCTCCCCACCCCCACCCCGCCCGTGAAGACCGTGCATCCAGGAGCAGTTTGAGTCTCCAGTTTGAGCTGGAGTGAAAGACTCCAGGAATAGCCCTTGGGAATAGTTTTCCTCAGGAAGCAGGGAATCATCCGGGAGTGACCCACCTGCCTCACTGATACTGTTTCCATCTGTTTTACTCTCTCCCATTACTCTGCTCCTAAAGACTCCATGGATGCTGGGGAAAACAGGACCCTTCTTAGTAGCACAACTAAATTAAACCAATTATTACAGGTACCTAAGAGACATACATTTCTCCTCAGGTTCTGGAGGATGTGGTAAATAGGGGGCAGCTGGAGAATAGGGACTCGTCTCTCTGTGTGCCCAGAAAACTCCCCCAGAAGTTGGGAAAGAGACCTCGGAGGTCTTCTATTCAACCTCTCATCTACCTCAGACCTCTTCTGTGTTCTTGTTTCTCTTAATAGGCACCCAAGTGAAACTCTCCACCTCACCTGTTAGAGCTCAGTAATGATCTTAACTCTTCACCTTATGGTGGTTTTTCTTTTTGGCAGTTGGCCGGCATTAGTCAGCTTGGCCCGCTCCCACGCTTAGAAAGCTGAGGGGGAATACACTTAGGCTTTCTCATACTCACAGCTGAAAAGACTGAGAAAAAGTTTGCTGGGACCCATTCTAAGAAGTACCAGAAAATTAAATAAGAGATAAGGGCAGGAAACAGTATGTAAGGTAAAAATGAACTTGACAAATGTATGAGGAGAAGAGTTCACCAAATGCAAGTGAACAAGCTCTGGAAATGAGCCCTTTTCCTCCTGTTTCAGCGCAATTTCTGAGAGTTCTGAAAGTCGGTAGTCAGTGCTGTTTCTGCTCTGCATTCACGAATGCCGACATCTTGCCCTTCTTCCCACTTAAGTGCCAATAAAATTAAAATGCAGATAAAAGCAAGGTGAAGGCTAATCTCACAATGTTCTAAGTGCAAACATGTTCTTGAATCATGATTATCATCTTTGCATGATAATTTTAACAACCAAGATGATCACATGATTCTGTTTATAGATTTTTAGATTGTGCCCCTTTATTGGCTTTATCCCCTAAGTATTATATATATTTTACACTATCCCTGTATTAAGCTTCCCTTCATCAGCATGTCAAGCTGGTGTGTCTGTGTTATATAAATATCCCACAGGCATAAAAAAAGACCTTTCACAAGGGCACATGGGTATCAGGCCAAACAAAATTTCACTTTCCAAGGTGGATGTCAAATATCTAATTCTTCTTCAAGATTCTCGCTCCAGGAAAAGGGGGCCCTCGAGAGAGGGGCTGATGTTGCTGCTGTGCATTAGCTATGCTGAGGGGGGTCATAAATTTTGGTTGTCAGCGTTTTCCGTGACTTTGTGGTGAAGGTAGTCTAGCTTTCATGTCATACATGAAATATGTTAGATCCCATCTTTAATGTAGAAACCACAGTTGTTTGGTTACACTCTTGAAGGAGGTTGGTGGTCAGTGTTGCAATATTCGTGTGAGATTTAGGAAATTCTTATGTTGTATTCTCAAGAGAAACAATTTACTCTGAGGCTAAGGAATATTTGCTTTTCCTCAGCAGTTTCTGAAGGCATGCATGAGGGACAATAAGCGGATATGTTCCGCCCTGGCATCTCAAAGCTGCAAAAGAAAAACCATTCCCTTTGCCACGGGCTCTTTGATAGAATTGTCCTCTGAGCTCTCAAAATGTTTAGCTGAGTTGAAAAAGATGGAAATCAGACCAAAAAAAAAAAAAAAAGGAGTTACAGCAGAGAGAAAAAGAATCGGGGAGCAATTGAGAGTGGGGTAGAGAGGTTTTATAGAACCTAATATACAATTAGAAACCTGTCTTTCAAAAGTTGAAAACTATGTTAGTTACCTGCTGAGAAACAAAAGAAAATTCCACTATTGTCAAATAGCAGCAGCTTTCATGTCCAAATTACAGAAGGTTTTCAATAATCAGTCTTCTGTGAATCAGAATTGAATCTGAAACGAAGAGAGTTGTGTTTGGGGATGGGAGGGAGTAGCCTAGACCTTATCAGATAGCTGTGGGTTCATATTCTAGCGTTTGGCTTTTCCTGGAACAAAGGGATCACACTGAAATCCAACGAGGCACACCCTCAGAATGGCTTAGTCTTCGTTAAGCTTGCCAAGTGCCAAAGCCAGGCCATCCTCTGCGACTCTGTTTGCGTTGCTCCTTCTGATGAGGTTCACTTGCTTTCTTAAACACATAGGGGAGAAGCTGCTGAAATTCATTCTTTCCTTGAGTTTTCATCCTCTTTGAGGGTTAGCAAGACAGGCTCCCCCGTCCCGGGGGAAAGGTGGTGAGGGTACATGGTTAGCTTCATTTCAGAGCTAGGAAGAGCAAGGCCCACAGGATGATGAAATGCTTTTCTCAAGCTCTGTAATAACCCGCCAAACAACGCTGTCATTCTCTGAAGCAGCATCATACTTGCAGCGTCTTGGTCTCGCCATCTACGCTCAAAAGAATGCCAGAGTTGGGGTTAAAGCCCAGTGGTAACTGGAGTTTCTGTGCTCTTCACTATATCCTGCTGGAAAGTAGGAAGATAGTTTGTCCCTCTGAATACTAAATATGAAAGACTTTCTCTTCTCTCTAAAGTGCACACGTAAATATGTTTCTGTGTAGAAGGTCCGCATAAGGAAGAGAGAAAAATAATGGTGTGTTCTGCGGGGGATAATGCATGTTATGTGTCATACAAGCAGCAACTGTGTCAAAAGTGGAAACAAACCAAAATTTGACTATTTTATTTCTTAAATGCATGTGTCAGTGAGTATGGACAACAGAACAGTGGGTAGAGCAGAAAAAGCATTTCACTGAGAAATGATTCTGTAGACCCAGTTCTGCCAATGAATAAGGTCATGCAGTCTTCTCTGTTTTCTCATCTGTAAGATGGGAACATTGGACAGACTGACCCAAAATCCCTTCCAGTTTTAAAACCCTGTGACTCCATAAGAAATTCATGGCCTGTTCCTTTAGGTTACAGAACTCTCTCCGTACATATTTCCATGCTATAATATAATCGATGTAGTTTACATTTTGAATGAAATAAAAGCATATGCTGTAGAGTGTGCATTGGACTTTATCAGTGTTTTGACCGCCATAGAATTAGGAGTCATGTCTGAGCAAAAGTGGACATTGCTCCTTTCTGGTTTTGCTCCAGAATATGTGTGTTTGGAATTATAAGAGAGACCCTTAAGAAATTACTGCAGTTATTGCCTTTCTCCACCTATGCACTTCTAGTCTTTTAATAACTGAGAGCCAAAATTCCCTGACCAGTAGTTTTAATTTGCATTAAAAACAGATTTATTATTTACAGAAGCACAAAGAATTTATGGGACTCAGAGCTGCAGCTCCAGCTTGGATCTCGCCTAATCATAGCCATGGAATCAATTAACAGTTCATCTGTGAAATGTGATAAAATCTTATGAGATACATATTGCCCAATAACTGAGAACGAGATGAAAGTATGCTCCATAGTAGTAACGGGACTTCAGGGTTTTACAATCGTTGTTGAATAGAGTTCCATTAGAAACTCCGTATTCGGGATGGCCACAAAAAAAATCACTGTGTCTGAACAGATGATAGAGCATTGAGTAATAAACCCTGGCCAGTCATTCTTGCTTTGATTAGTTTCCAACACCCTAGAAAAGGGGGTCATTTATTTAAGTGTTCTTGCTCACGGCAAATGAGCTTGTGGGGCTTGGAGTGGGTGGGGGGGAAGGATTGAGTGCAGAGCTATAAATTGCTGCAAAGCTGGTGCCTCCAAGAAGGGCTGCTTGGGGGGCCTGGGTAATCATCTGGGAACAAGCCTCCATGGGGTTGGTCAGGAGTTTCTTAGTGATATCTGGGAATCACCCTTATAAAACCTGGATTCTTTTCTGACCCAGATTAGAGATCACTTTTAAGACCAAAAATGGTTTTTCTTCCAATCCTTCTACATCCTCAATTATATGTATTTTTGTACATTGGTGGCTTGTATTCTTATGATAAGCTTTAAAATGTAGCCTTCTTAAAGATCATATAGTCTAAGTCTCTTATTTTACCCTTGAGAGTCAAGTGTTGAATGATTGACCCAAGATTACAAAGCCAGCAGATGCCAGAAGAAGGATAAAACAGTCTCTCTATTTTCCATGGAGCACTCAACAGATTGAGAATCCCCAGCAGGCCCTCTCACTGTCCGCTGCTAGTGGTACAGAACCAACATGGCGTCAGTGTTCCGTGCAATCACTCAGTATGACACAAAGAGTGGGTAAATGCCATGGATTTGAGACGAAGAGCAAACCCCAAAGTTTTCACCTATGTACACCCTGAAACTATTCATGCTGATTTTATGCCAATAAGATGTGTCCAAGAGTATCCCCAATCATGTTGAATTTCTTAGAAAATTGGCTTCAATACTTGGGCTTAGCATAAGCCACCGTGACTGCTAAGCCTGGCCTCTGAACTAGAAAAGATTGGGGGGTGGGGGCGGTGAGGAGTTCCGAGTGTCTTCACTCTTCACATAATGGGTTTTGGCATTGACAGCTTCTCACCCTCCACCTCACACTTCGTTATTCCTCTACATTTGCAGTTTTGAAACAACGGTAGGCTACTTTGGGATGAAGCCAAAGTCTGGAGAGAAGGAGATCACACCCAACTATGTGTTTATGGTGTGGTACGAGTTCTGCAGTGACTTCAAGACAATCTGGAAACGGGAGAGTAAAAACATATCTAAAGAAAGGTAAGGCTCTGATAGACGGCTTAACACTGGGAGTCTAGGAAACCACCTTCTTAACCCTAATGAGGCATGTACATCTCACCCGTGTCAGCATTGCCTTTCAGATCAAGTGGACGTCAGGGAAGGATTATTGAGAGTTTATAAGGAAATGTGGGGGTGGGAGGGCTTGCTGTCCACAAGGGCAGATACTCTCACGTGATCTGATAAGTTACACTTTCTTAACCCCTTCCAATTACTAGCTAGTAAATGAAAGGGGAGCTGTGCTAATTTGCAACAGATTGCTTCTCTGTGTATTTTCATGTCGGCCCAAGCTAAATGAGGCAGCCTTGCTGTCGCAGACAGTACAGACAAATAAAAGTGAATGCTTTTCCCATTAATATACTGAACTCGCATCAAAGGGAAGTCTCTGAGAGTCGGGCCACACTTAACACGGTGTGGAAGCCCCGCTCTGGATTTACAGCACCACTTCTGACTCCCCGCATCCTGCTGAGGACATCAAACTGCGTGCCGCTCGCCTCATTGCAACCTCCTGATTTTATTAGTTGGGGGTAGAAGGAAAACCTCGGCACTGAACATAGGGAGAGTGTGTGTGTTCGTTCTCCTTAGAGAAAGACTGTGTTTGGCCCTGTTGATCAGGAAAAAAAAAAAAAAGCATTTCTGCTTGATCAGTGTTTTGATCAGGTTGCCACTGTTCTACAAAGGGTGTCATGGATTTAAACTTCAAACACGTCTTGCTACTACTCCTGCAGAACAGATGTATGAGAGTGTCATTCAAAGTGAAGTTGGAGACAAAAAAAATTCAACAAATGAAGGGAAGTGGTTTAATTGTAGCATCTATATCTCACTAAACATTGAGACCCTAAAGTCCAAAATTCAGTACTTCTGTTCTTTACTTTGGAATCAGAGAAAAAGTGTATATATAATATAGCTATACACATACAGACACACAGAGTACACTAATATATTTTACCTTATAAAGCTACCTTAAAAAACTCATAATTTAGAGATTTCTTGACTCAGTTTTACTAAATCTATAAATATTTTCTCCGGGAATTTTTTCTTATGCTTAAAAAAAAAAAAAAGCATTTCTGCTTGATCAGTGTTTTGATCAGGTTGCCACTGTTCTACAAAGGGTGTCATGGATTTAAACTTCAAACATGTCTTGCTACTACTCCTGCAGAACAGATGTATGAGAGTGTCATTCAAAGTGAAGTTGGAGACAAAAAAAATTCAACAAATGAAGGGAAGTAGTTTAATTGTAGCATCTATATCTCACTAAACATTGAGACCCTAAAGTCCAAAATTCAGCACTTCTGTTCTTTACTTTGGAATCAGAGAAAAAGTGTATATATAATATAGCTATACACATACAGGCACACACAGTACACTAATATATTTTACCTTATAAAGCTACCTTAAAAAACTCATAATTCAGAGATTTCTTGACTCAGTTTTACTAAATCTATAAATATTTTCTCCGGGAATTTTTTCTTATGCTTGCTTTCTAAGGAGGTCACAGAGCTTTAAAAATGTGTATCAACGTATCTTCTTCTCACCATACCTCTTTTGGAACATGGGAATTAAACTGAGTATATCCATTATAGAGTGAAGCAGAAAAAAGTTAAGTGACATTGTTAAGAAAATAGATTGTTGATAACAATCTATTGAAAAAAAGATTGTTTATTGAAAAAAAATCCTAAAAATCTTGACATCCAACGCATTGTTCTCACCCCACAATCTCTTGTTTAGCCCTTTAAGCTAAGATAAGCTTCTGTGGAATGCATTCTGTGTTCTGTGAGCCTCAGAAAAGTGACAGAGCCAAGTTCTTCTGTCTCTTAACGAGGTAGCAGCAGGCTAGTCAGCACTCCACGTCCACACCCGAAGGCCAGGGAATTCCTTGGCGGGCCCTGAATGTCCTGCCTTTGCTTGAGATTTTACATCTTAGACTTTGATCATAGCCCTTAATGAATTTATCCTTTTCATTGGAGCCCTGAAAATAGTCCCAAAAAAACCAGCAGAGAGGGTAATGAATCGCTTTTCATCTGGATAAACTACTACTGAAATACCGAACCATATTCCAGATGGAGTTTTTCCCCATCACAGAAGTTGGACCACACTCTCTCTGGGCCTGTGGTGGTCCCAGCTGCCCTTCAGAATGACCCGTCCTCCTAGTGACGGTCACTCGCTGCGCTGCTTCCTGGGTGTAGCTGGCGAATTGCCCACTTCACACTCTGTAAACCAACACCTTTAAAGGGTCATGACTTCCCGGGACCCTTTTCAGATCTCATTTAGCAGTTCCAGGGGTTTCTTCATTCCAGCCGTGCTTTGTGAGATGGATCACCAAAGTTTCCAACCTAAAACAACATCTCTGAAAGTTAATGGTGGCTCATAAAATATTTGTGGAAGCAGCTTGTTTACAAAAATCATTTTGTTAGGAAATCTTAGCACGTTATATGTATTACTGCTCATCCAGTTTAAAACAAACTTGTTAATATCCAGGATTTTCTCACAAAATGAGGGATTTTTCAGTTGTTCTCTATATCTGCTAAGGGTTTTAGCTTTCAGACTATTGGCATCACATTCATTATGGTGAAATAAGAGAACTAACTCGAATTTTTCTATTATAATCAAATGAGAAACAATATGACTGCTTTAATGATGAGAAACAATATGATTATTCTAGTATTATATTTAATGCTGTTTGATGTTATCATTTTTATTGTACTTTTCCCAGAAATCCAATAAATCCTAACAACACTAAATATCAGGGGGCTTCCCTGGTGCCTCAGACCATAAAGATTCTGCCTACAATGCAGGAGACCCAGACCCAGGTTCAATCCCTGAGTCGGGGAGATCCCCTGGAGAAGGAATGGCAACCCACTCCAGTATTCTTGCCCAGAGAATCCCATGGACAGAGAAGCCTGGCAGGCTACAGTTCATGGGGTCACAAAGAGTCGGATATGATTGAGCAACTAATATTTTCACTTTCAGCATAACATAGTATGAAAACATCCTCAAAAATTAAGTTCGTAACCAAATGAAAACTTGGTAGCTTGTAATTATTAGGGGAAAAAACTATAGTTTGGGATTCAATAACTTCATTCACTTCATTTTTAGATGTGTTTGAAGGCCAACTAAAATCCCCAAAATCATTGGGAAAACTTAAGGATCAATAATAAATAGTATTTTCAAAGGGACAAAGTCACTTCCAAATGAAATGGCAGTTTTGAAAACTACTTTAGGCCACTTGAAGTAGATTTTAGGTGACAGACAATATTTGCTCCTTGTTCTGCTTAACATGGTCTCCTTGAATGCACGTTCAATTCAGTTCAGTCGCTCAGTCGTGTCCGACTCTTTGTGACCCCATGAATCGTAGCACACCAGGCCTCTCTGTCCATCACCAACTCCCGGAGTTTACCCAAACTCATGTCCATCAAGTCGGTGATGCCATCTAGCCATCTCATCCTCTGTTGTCCCCTTCTCCTCCTGCCCCCAATCCTTCCCAGCATCAGGGTCTTAGCCATCTCATCCTCTGTCATCCCCTTCTCCTCCTGCCCCCAATCCCTCCCAACATCAGGGTCTTTTCCAATGAGTCAACTCTTCACATGAGGTGGCCAAAGTATTGAAGTTTCAGCTTCAGCATCAGTCCTTCCAATGAACACCCAGGACTGATCTCCTTTAGGATGGACTGGTTGGATCTCCTTGCAGTCCAAGGGACTCTGAAGGGTCTTCTCCAACACCACATTAGTTTGATGCAAAACTGAATGATGCAACTCCATTGCAGGGTAACAAGTACTCTTCATGAGACCCAGAACAATGTCTAAACACACAGATGACTGATTGAAACGTTCAGTATGCTTGTGCCTTGCAAATGAATGATAAACCCTATTATTAAGCTGGTGTCAGGACACAATTCGGTATTTGAGTTGAAGAAACAGTACTTAACTGGGGGTATGGTTTACCTGTGGATTAACTCTGTCAGTGGAAGAGCAAGCTACTGTATGATGGTATATAACAGCATTAAACTTTGCTTGTCATGAAAGCCATTATTAAGCCAAAATGGCAAGCTTCTAAGACCGGACACAAATTCAGAGTGCCCCGCTCCCTAGACCTCAGCCTGTGACCCATCCAGTCCTCATTGCTGCCCAAGTACTAGAACTTACTCTCTAGTGAAATATGCCAGGCTCTTCTACCCTTCCTGAGTACTGGAAGTGTTCCATAGTATAAAAAATGACTTCTGGATAGAGAGTTGAAAATCAGCATTTTTATGCAATTAGTCTGCTTTATGATCTTGGGCCAGTCACTTATTGCTTGGGGCAGACCCATATATCACATTTGTAAAAGGTATGTATTGGGATGAGGCAGGAACTAAATGCTTACTAAGATCTTTTCTGGTTTGAAATCTCTATGAATCAAGAAACTTTTTTTTTATATATTCTGAGAAACTGTGTGTTTTCTTTCTGAGATAATGTCCCTCACCTTTGCTCCTGAGCTCATAGGGGACTAGACCAAAATATATTTCAAGCCAAGGTGTGGTGGTGAGTTGGGGAGAGCTTTGGAGACAGGCAGAGTTTCCACTGTCCTCTTGGCCTTAGTAACTGTCAATAGCTACCCTGGCTCACACCCCCAGCTCCTCCCCTAAAATACTAAGGTTGGTCTTGAAGACCACATTTTTTTCATTAAAAGTATACACACAAAAAATTTTCCTCTGCTTATCTGCATCCAACATTGCATTTGCTGGTTTATGAAAGTTCATCAAGATTTTTATTCTCAGAAGCAGCTTTGGTTCAGTTTTACCTTTTCATTCACTTTTGTATTTGTGTCTCTTGACATGCAAACATTCAATGAATTTTTGTAACACACACTTCTTCCACTTATTAAATCAATGGGTTATCAGAACCATATGCATAGTGGCAAGGAGGTAACTTAATTTTTGCTGCTTCCTTCATTGACTATTCTTTACTCACTTTCTGCTTTTTTTTCTTTTTTTCCTGTTTAATTAC